ATGTACCGAAGTACCACTGTACTTTTTTAATAAAAAAATATGATATATTTAATTGCGTTTGAAATCCGGCTTAAAGTTTTGCAACCACCTAATAATACATAAAATTGCAGAAAAATATGTTAGCGATTAGAAATTGTAACGTTAACACGAAAGTAAGATTGCAGACTTGGTAAAATATCGAAAACACGTTTCATACATCTGATTATTTACACTTGGTTGAAGATTAGGTTTATGCATTGGTAGGATGGAATGCAGCTCTCGGAGTTAACGTAAACAGTCGTGAATCAACGCTCGAATGGATCGGGTTATCAATATACCCGCACGCGTTTGCAATTAACAAACGGCGAGCTGCGTTCTGCCATTTGTAAACGGTTACGTAAAGGGCCTGGACCGAGGAGGATTATGTAATGGGTACCGTTCCTTCGATACGATCAATCGTGACTCGGTGATTGATATCAGAATGACCGCCTGAATCTCGATTCTTATATACTGAATTACATCCATCACAATTGTTGGGAAATAACATCCGAGTCGTTTAAGATCTTAAAGAATTGAGTGAGTGATTCAATTTTATTTAGTAATTAATTATTGACGCTAGTGAAAAGTTTTTTTATACAGAAGTTGCAGGCACTGATGTACAATTTTCCCGTATCTCCAACGGTTTGGGAGTTATTGGCAAAAAACGAAAATTTAAAAGAAATTGAAGGGTACCCCTTGACAAAATCTCGAAAAAATTTTTTTTTTCTCAAAATATCGAAAAGTGCTTCAAATAAAAGTTGTAGATAATGCTATTACCTGTAAAATCGTATACAATTTTCTTCTATCTCGAATCGTTCAAGACTAATCGAATAATTATTTCATATATCGATTATTATGATATGCAAGAAGCCTTTCATCATTTTTTCAATTGCTACTATAAATGTTAGACTTTGCATAAGAATGAAATTACAGAAATGGCACCGGCACATGTTTACTTAATTCCTCTTGACATTACGACTGTACAAAAAACACGTACGTGTATTATTGAAATTTGTATGTGGTTAATCTGATGCGAGAGTTTTGCATATCTGAGTGGACGCGAAACGTTCGAACACGAGTTGTCACAGGCGAACGTCTCGAAATTGACGAGCCGTTTGCGCTCTGCAATCGAAAAACGGTCGCCTCGTGTTTAGTCGTGAGGGAATTTCAAGCGACTTCGGACAGCCGTTTTCCTTTCAACGGGATACAGTCACGTTCATTCAATCGGCGAATGTCGCAACGCCGTGCGAGACTCACTTATGAAACCACTTATGAAATCCACCTTTTTCTCGGCGATTACGGATAAGATTCATTCAGGATTCTGCTTCCTCTTATTTTGTTCTATCAGATTAGTCCCGGATCATTATTTTACTTAATCATCAGGCAACTGGGTACAGTAATTGTTTCTGCTTGCTGTACATGAAAATTGTTCATGGTTTTTGTATATAAAAATTGCTCCTGGTTT